GTAATTTGCGTCGTGCTGCGACGTTAAATCAGGCACTTCTTGGGAGGCAACCCATGTGTCTTTTTCTTTTTCTTTTTATTTTTCATTAGATAGGCTTTGTTTTGTGCTAACTAGTTTTGAAGTGTATGCAGGAATGGATGTGCAATGCAGGGACTGTGTCATAATTGGCTAAGTGTTGAAAAAAGTGCGAACCGCACAATTCTAAAGGCAGCAGCAGAAATCACTCTATGGCTACACAATTCTGTGTGCGTTCGCACAACTGGAAGACCAAAATTGCAAGTTCTCTGAAGTTGGCCTGTCAAAAATCATAGCCAATCTGCGTCCGCACATAAAATTATGCGGTCCGCACAAATTTTGTGGTTGCACTCGCTTTTGTGCGGACCACAGAGTTGCATCAAGGTCCAGGTAAAAAGTGCGGTCCGCACTCAAAATTGTGCGGCCGCACTCACCTTAGGTTTGGGGTGACTTGATCAACCTATAAATAGAACCTCAATGCACTATTCATAATTTTACGTACTCTGAGTTCTTGAACCCTAAGCAAACATAATGCACGTTCAATTAGTTCACAATCTTCCTTCATTTCATTAGTGTAGATTCTTACCTGCATCCTTCATAACTGGTATGTTCATTACTTCTTTAGAATTTTTAATTTTTTTTAGTTTTTGTTCTTTTGTGATAGAGTTATTTTTAGACCTAAAATATCAATTGTTAGTCAAGTGTGCTTAAAATCATGTGGGTAATATCATATATGTTCATTGGGGCCTAGGTAGATCATTAATCATGTTTAATTGTAAATACCATGTCTAAATTATGCAAAACTTGCAAAACACAGAGTCAGTGCTGCGTAATTTCAAATTGTGCGGCCGCACACAAATTTGTGAGATCCGCAGATCTTAAACTTAAGGCTAAAATGTTGCATAAAAAGTGCGGACCGCACTCAAAATTGTGCGGTCCGCAGAATAATTGTGCGGCCACAGAAAAATGTGTGCGACAGCACTTTGGAACTTCAGAGAACCAGTGTTCTGGAATTAGGATTGTGTGGCCGCACTCAAAATGTTGCGGTCCGCAGAAAAATTGTCCGGCCACAGAAAAATGTGTGCGACCGCACTTTGGAAGTTCAGAGAACTAGTGTTCTGGAATTAGGATTGTGCATCCGCACTCGAAATTGTGTGGTTCGCACTTCAGGATGTGCGACTGCACTTCAAAATTGTGAGGTTCGCACATGGCAGTCTGCTGCCGCACTCAAAATTGTGCGGTCCGCACTGCCTCTTCTGCAATCTATTTTCCTGCAACTATTATGCATCTCTGTACACTATTTTGAGCTTTAACTAACTTATGTACCTCATATTGGAGACAATGGTTCATTCACGAGGTAGAGGAAATACATCTAAAGGGAGAGGTGAACCCTCCCGATGCTGGGGCAAAGGCATTCAACCTTTGGGGGTGCAAAAGAAAACTTTGACAAAAAAGCAAACCCCGGGGAGAGGCAAGGCCACAGAGCCTTCTGAATCAAGCTCATATGTCCCGTCTAGGGAAGCCTCCGAAGGCCACTCAATGGAAGAACAACCTGAGGCCCAGTCCCAACCATCACACTTCACAAGTGCAAAAAAGAACACGTATATAGGACCAAATGGATATTGGTGATACCGTTTATGCGCGTAAATGTGGCATATGCTCGCAAACAGGACACGACTGTCGTAAATGTCCTTCAGCTAGTTTGGGTAGTGGTAGTAATTCAGCTCCCGATGGAAGTTCATGCAATGTGCCCAATTATCAAGGATACCCATAGTGTTGTATTTCAATAATTTGTTGTAATAAGTATATGCACATGTTCATCTTGCAGAATGTATGAAATAAAATTATGTTTCCATTGGTGTTAAGTCTTATTGATATTTATCATTAATACTTCAGTACAACAATTTAACATACACCCCAAGAAAAAAAACAATTGTCATTCGTCATTATCGTCGCTGTCTTGCACTATTTTATTGTCATTGTCTTCATCTTCTCCGTCAACATCGTGTACGTACCCTTCGGGACCGAGGGCATCGTAATCTAGACCCCAGTTGACACACATTTCTCGCATTTTATCGCTATCATTAAGAAGACCACTTGCTTGATTTCTACAACAATATGGGACTCCTACGTCCAATGTCTGTGGTAGAAACTTAGGTAGTCCCTCCCACTCGACAACTGTTGGGAAAACAGGATAATCATTGTCTCTATGCATTTTATCATTTTCTAATAAATCCCAGTACTAAGCCTCTGTTCCTCCCAAGAAGTTAAGATCATCCATTGCATGATGAACATCTAGTGCCTTTTCCATCTCTAGAATCTTCTTCATCAAATGTCGAATCACTTCTGGTTCATCTTTGTGTGTGTTTGTTTGGAAGGTTGCAGACTGTGATTGTGGCGCAACAAGCCCATACCAGCGACATAGTACTTCGTAATCACACCGTTTTGAGTAAAGGGGAACCCATTGTAGTTTTTCGCCCCAAATTTGCATACCTTCAGGCTTTGTAGAATGCGTTTTGCCCTCAATAATGTGCCCTGCAACTTTGAGATCAGTGTGTATATTGATAGGCTTATTTTCCAAGGTACGCAGAACACCATACCACTTGTCATCAACCAAGTCAGTGTAGCAACCTAGCATATTTTTTTCAAGGTAGGGATCGATAGTGTTAAGATATGTTTCGTGGGGATCTGTTGAACTACCTTCACCCTTTTGCCTCTTTTTGAACCACTTGTTAAATGTTTTGCTATGCGATCGCATGGGCAAGTCCGCGATTGCATAGGTTTGGCAAGCTGTGCTATGCGAACACGTGGCTAAGACCGCGTTCGCAAAGAGGCAACGAGGCAGAAGCTGGTCCACGCGCTTAACCCTTCGCGATCGCTTGGACGAGTCCGCAATCGTGTAGGTCTGGGAATGCTGTGTTTCGCGATCGCGTAGAGTTATCCGCGATCGCAGTGTCAATTTTGGCTAGTGGAGATTTGATCTTCGCGATCGCGTTACTTCATCCGCGATTGCATAAGCTTAATTCTGGGCAACCTTATTTTGTTCTTCGTGATTGCGTGCCTTTGGCCACGATCGCATAGAAGAAAAAGCATGGGCAGAAAGTTTAAGTTCTGAAAATGGGACTTCGTCCCATTTTTTATTTTTGACAAATTAGAGCTCGGTAAGAGGCGATTTTCGGGAGAGTTTCAAGAAAAATATCGGGGTAAGTGTTCTTAACTCAATTTTGGTTAGATTACCCGAATCCATCACTGTTTTTATCATTTAATGAGTGAATTAAGTTAGAAAAGTTTGAAAACCCTATTGGATAAATTTGAGAATTTGAGGGCCGAATTGTAATAAGTATATGTACATGTTCATCTTGCAGAATGTATGAAATAAAATTATGTTTTCATTGGTGTTAAGTCTTGTTGATATTTAGCATTAATACTTCAGTGCAACAATTTAACATACACCCCAAGAAAAAAAAACAATTGTCATTCGCCATTATCGTTGTTGTCTGGCACTATTTCATTGTCATTGTCTTCATCTTCTCCGTCAACATCGTGTACGTACCCTTCGGGACCGAGGGCATCGTAATTTAGGCCCCAGTTGACACACATTTCTCGCATTTCATCGCTATCATCAAAAAGACTACTTGCTTGATTTCTACAATAATATGGGACTCCTACGTCCAACGTCTGTGGTAGAAACTTATGTAGTCCCTCCCACTCGACAACTGTTGGGAAAACAGGATAATCATTATCTCTATGCATTTTATCATTTTCTAATGAATCCGAGTACTGAGCCTCTGTTCCTCCCAAGAAGTTAAGATCATCCATTGCATGATGAACATCTAGTGCCTTTTCCTCATTTTGAGTTGTGGGTCATAAGGCGGGCAGCTTTATCTGATCAAGGGCCGGGGCACAAGGGTCCTGGTACTATCCAGGTGCGAAGAACCCCGGAGGTGACTGCAATGAGCAGAAATCTCACTCACGGGCCTAAACGACGAGCAAACACTCGAACGTGAGAGCAAGGGATCACCCAACGAATGGACGAGCTCAAAGGGGGGAGGGAGGCAAGAACCATGCTTTCAGAGACCTAACCCAACCCGGTCCGAATCTTATCTGAACTGCGAGAATAACTGACTAAGCNTCTCTAGAATCTCCTTCATCAAATATCGAATCACTTATGGTTCATCTTTTGTGTGTGTTTGTTTGGAAGGTTGCAGACAGTGCTTGTGGCACAACAAACCCATACCAGCGACATAGTACTTCGTAATCACACCGTTTTGAGTAAAGGGGAACCCATTGTAGTTTTTCGCCCCAAATTCGCATACCTTCAGGCTTTATAGAATGCGCTTCGCCCTCAATAATGTGCCCTATAACTTTGAGATCAATGTGTATATTGATAGGCTTATTTTTCAAGGTACGCAGAACACCATACCACTTGTCATCAACCAAGTTAGTGTAGTAACCTAGCATATTTTTTTCAAGGTAGGGATCGATAGTGTTAAGATATATTTCATGGGGATCTGTTGAACTACCTTCACTATTTTGCCTCTTTTTGAATCACTTGTAATGTTTATTTAAAAGGTCTTTGAAATATAGATGACTTGGTTCGGTTTAAGAAGCCGTTTTATACCTGAAATAATCATTATCACGTGAAACATAGCGCGGTGAAATACCACGTTATGTGTATTGTCTTGTCGACGTGAAAAAGTTGAAGGGGAAGTGACGATTATTTATGTAAGTATAGCGCCTTAGGTAAGGGCGTTATACTATGGCGCCTTAAGTGAGGACGCTATACCTTCCCGCCCGTTTGAGTTCAAATATAACACCTTTAAAAAGGGCATTATACTTAACTGGGTAAATGACCGTTAAGATATAACCTTATAAAATGACGTTATATATATATATATATATATATATATGATCAATCAGTTTTTTTCCACACATTTTAATTCTTTGACATTTTGGTTCCGGACTGATCACGAGTCTTTGTCTAAAAAATCTAAATGGCGCCGTAGCCAGCCGGCGAACGTTAGCCCTGACCCATTCTTTAAACTCTTTCGATAAATTGTATGCTATCTGCTTGGCCGAAAAAACAAAACAAATAAGAAAATCACTATCTGCTAAAACAACGACCCTTATCCTATACTCTCTCTTCTTCCTCCAAACCCACCTTCCACCCCCTCTCATTACCCCCACATCATCTTTTTTGAAGAGTGTGCCAATTATAATCTTTATCTTTATATTTGAATTCTAATATTTTTCGAGATTATCAAAACATATATACAACTCAGCATACGGTAAAAATCCGGAAAAAGAAAAAGTATATATTACTATAGTACATTGAACTGGGTAATTTCCAAAGGAAGAGAAAAGAAAGAAAACTTTATTGAGAAAAGAACGAGTGTTTTTCCAATGGAATCATCGGCAGAGCGACGTCTGAAAGCTATTCAAAGCCATCTTGTTCCGGTCATCGATGACCGGTCACTCTCATTCATCCGGTCAAACCCAACCGCCGGCGAATTTGTTCAAGGTAATTCACTACTTCCTGATTACCCAATGATCTATTCTTTTACTTCTGTGTAGATATAAAAAATATATGTGATATGTGGAGTTGTTATGTGGTGGGAAAGAATCTAAAGTTTGAAGCTTTTTGAGTGTACGAAGTATTTTGATACCCAAATCGGAATAGTGGTGTTAGGGGTTTTGTTTATGCTTTGTGGTTTCCTGGGACCCTCTATTGGATTGTGATATGTATCTACTTACTGGTGGAAAGTGTTGTTATCTTTTAAGACCACTGACTTGGCTCAAGTCTTTATTTTTATTGCTTTTTATTCCTCATTCTAAAGTACTATTAGAAAGGTTATTTTTAAAAGTTTAGAACGTGCTAGGGCTTTAGTTTTTTGAACATTTGATTCCTGAGGATCTTGAGGTTTAGCTATCAGTGGAACAGTGATCTCTCATTTGGTTTCTGGGTCTTTTTTTTGTTACTAATAAGCATGTGTACCCTGTGTTGGGAACTCCTTTTTTTTTTTTTGTGACAAAAGGAGGAGTCACACACACACACACATATTTAAAAATCAACATTGTATTCTTGTTTCCTTACCTTTTCTCCTTTTGACAGCTGATGGAATAATCAAGCTTTAATTTTGGGGTCTTGCTATTCATGTAATGTTGCATACAACTATTTCACAGTAGCACTCTTTATAGTAAGATCAGAAAATCTTAGACTATGAAAGCTAAAGCACAGAAAATAGTATTTACGGGTGGTGGAAAGGAAAATTTAATCCATATTAATATATAATAACCTTCCTTAAGTCTCTCTGTAACTTCAGAATGCCTATCCTCTTTCTTTGCTTTCTGCGCTTGCACTTTGTTTTGGGAGTGGGTGGGAGAGGGGAAGAAATATGGGAGTCAGAGACAGGACTCTCTTTGCTTGGTTAAAAAATCTGTGTTTGACTGCGAAATCTGTGATTTTTTGAGAATATGGTTGGAAGAATTTTTTCTTGGCAGGCAATTTGCTACTAGGTGTTTCTGTTGGCCTGTAAGAAATTGTGTGAAATCACGCTGGTGTCCCATGCTAGTCCTGTGCAGCAGACTGAAAAATGCTAGTTTTTGTGAACGGCACCGCAGGGAAACAGTAAATTTGTATAAGCTTTTATAACATTCGGAAACAAATCTGTTATGAATAATAATGCTGACAAGGATGCCACAAGGGATGAGCACATGGTGCCGTAAGGGCTCTAGAAGGATCATTCCTCCAAAAAGACTTGAGGACTACGTATGGCAAGGAGGAAGCTCGTGTGATTAATAGGCAGAGTTAGTTAGCCAAAAAGGGTATAAAGCAGAGCGTCGTGGGCAGAGCAAAGGAGGAAAAAGTTGTTATGAGTATTGTCAATGTTCTCTTCCCCTTCTTCTAGTTCCTCACCCCTTCTGTTAGCCTATCCTATTTTAGTTTCCTGTTTTCTGTATTTCCATTGCTAGCTGCAATTTGAGAGTGGTTCCTACAATTTGGTTATTGTAATTGAGTTCAAGTTCTATTAATACTGTTGAGATTTCGCTACTGCTGCAAAATCCTATTGAATTGCATAATAGATGATTCTTTGACTACCTCAATCTCCACAGAGTGATATTATCATCATGTCCTGCTGTTCGCCTTCTTTCGCGGAAACTTTAGATATTTCGATTGTAATCTTCCTCCATAGTAAATTGCCATTTTATATCAATCATTATAGGACGACTTGGCTGTATTCTCACTCAGGTGATATACTCTAGTGGAGATACTCGAGGTAAATATAGCTAGGTTTGACATTGCTTTATGAGGCATAATCTTCAAACATATTGGTATAATTTAGTAGTCCCCAGTTTGAGTAGGGTGAGCGGCTTTTGGCGTTCCATTACTGTATCTCCTTTAACAGGCATGCTTCTTTGCACTTATTTGGAGACATCGAGCAGAAATAGTTTTCTAAGACTCGAATACATTTCTCAGTGAGAGCTCAGAGTTATGGAGAAAAAACTATTTTTCAGTATTCATTAAGCTAAGAAAGCGAATCATGTATTTGCTTACCTAATCAAGCTTTTTAAGATAATGTTACTCATGAAAAGCACCCCTGAGATGGAAAAGAAAACGAAGACATGGGTGGTATTTGTACTTTCTTCCATTTTAGAAGCATATTTGTCTATTAGTTTGGAAAAAAATTGAAGTCGTCTTGTGTACTTAGACCTTCATGTTCGGTATATGTCCAAAGTTATTCAGTTGTCTGGAACAACAAGCGTTCTCTCGTAGTTTTCTATTCGAATACTGATTATGTACTGGAATATAATTACATAAACAGTAATGTGATTTCTAATGATCTCCAGTTGAACGTGTGTGGTCCTTATTCTGTGCAAGGAGTATCCTTAAAATGCAAATTTAAATATGTACGAACAAACTGTTTAAGATGTATAGATAGATACATAGACATATTCATGGTGCTGTGTAAACTTGTGAACTTCTGCTTCGAGATTGCATATTTTATCTTAATATCTTGTGCACTCCTTTGAACACGCCTATGCTTCTATGTACAAAAAAAATTTAAGTTACAAGTTTGTCTGGTGTTCTGTATCTGACATGCTAAGCTATGCATAGACTGTAGCACGTCCTGCTGCCTTTTACATAGTGGTTTCTGCTTTTTGCTTTTGTTCATTCATTCATGTGTTTACTCTTTTTCATTGTTTACTTAATCACACGTTAACTATAATCAGGTCAGGGTTTCAGCGTAGTTCTTCCTGAAAAATTGCAGACAGGAAAATGGAATGTGTACAGGTGCGTGTATTTTCTACTTGAGTCGCGAGATACGCATGATTGTTTCTTAATTACGTGTTCACAGGTGTGCCATACATATAATGCACACATTCACTCACTCACACACACACACACACACACATGTACATACACACACATACATATATATCGTATAATGTATTATATATGTATAATTATAACTTTAGGAATCATATGAGGAACTAAGTGATGATTATTGCAGATCTGCACGATCTCCTCTGAAGCTTGTTACTAGATTTCCTGATCATCCTGAAATTGCTACACTACATGATAACTTTGAGTAAGAATCTCATCTTCAGCTTTTTACTTTTAACGCTTTTAAATATAGAGAAGAGTTAGGCCTGCACCTTGTATTCTGCTAATAGATAATTTGGCTTGCTGTGACATTTACTTGCACAGTTTTGTTTTCTCTTTTCCTTTTGAATTCTTGGTCTGCTGTAGAGTCCACTATTACTGCGACAATATTATATACACTCTTATTTAAATTGTTCATAAAGGAGATATGTTGCTTATTTTTTAATATTGTCTGCATACTTTGGTCATACATCTCCTGTTTCATCTGATAATATTTTGTGTTCAGACATGCAGTTCAAACCTATCAGGATTACAAATACTTGGGCACACGTATTCGGGTAGATGGAACTATTGGAGAGTAAGCATTTCTACTGATTGACAATGCTTGGTTGGATGAGATGAGTGTGAGAAGTTTTCTGATTGCATATTTATTTCTTCCGTTTCTTTGATGTAGCTACAAATGGATGACATATGGAGAGGCAGGGACTGCGCGGACTGCAATTGGTTCTGGACTTCACTATTATGGATTACAACCGGTATACCAAATGTGGATCAGTGCATATTCTTAAACTACGTACACTCTTTTACTAATATGTGAGAAAGTACGGGAGAAAATATATTATTGATATTAGGTACTCAATATAATATAAGAGGTCCTATTTATAGTTATAGTCTACAAAGTACATATTACTCCTATTCCAATGTGGGACTACACATAACTAACACTCCCCCTCAAGCTGGTGCATACACATCATATGTACCGAGCTTGTTACACATGTAATTAATACGAGAATCAGTAAGAGAGTTAGTGAAAATATCTGCTAGTTGATCATTCGACTTTACAAACTTTGTAACAATATCTCCTGAAATTATTTTTTATCCGACAAAGTGACAGTCGATCTCAATGTGTTTAGTCCTCTCATGAAACACCGGATTTGACGCAATATGAAGAGCAACTTGGTTATCACACACCAGTTCCATCTTGTCGATTTTTCCGAACTTTAACTCCTTGAGCAGCTGCTTGACCAAACTAACTCACACGTTGCCATTGCCATGGCCCGATATTCGGCTTCGGTGCTAGATCGAGCAGCTACATTCTGTTTCTTGCTCTTCCACGAGACCAAATTACCTCCTACTAGAACACAATATCCAGACGTAGAACGTCTATCAAAAGGTGATTCTTCCCTATCAGCATCTGTGTACCCAACAATCTGCTCATGGCCTCGATCCTCGAATAGTAATCCTTTGCCTGGAGTTGATTTTATATACCTGTGAGAAGGCACGGGAGAAAATATGTTATTGATATATATTGAATGAATGAATAATACAACACAAGAGCCTTATTTATAGCTATACTATACAAGGACATAATACTCCTCTACCAATGTGGGACACTATGTACATGCTGTAACTTAACACTCCCCCTCAAGCCGGTGCATACAAATCATATGTACCGAGCTTGTTACATATATAACTAATACGAGGACCAGTGAGAGACTTGGTAAAAATATCTGCAAGTTGATCATTTGACCTCACAAACTTTGTAGCAATCTCTCCTGAAAGTATCTTTTCTCTGACGAAGTGACAATCAATCTCAATGTGTTTAGTTCTCTCATGGAACACCGGATTTGATGCAATATGAAGGGCAGCTTGATTATCGCACACAAGTTCCATCCGACTGATTTCACCAAATTTCAACTCCTTGAGCAATTGTTTGGTCCAGACTAGCTCACATGTTGCCATAGCCATTGCTCGATATTCTGCTTCTGCACTAGACCGAGCAACTACATTCTGTTTCTTGCTCTTCCAGGACACCAAATTTCCTCCTACTAAAACACAATATCCAGACGTAGAACGTCTATCAGAAGGTGATCCTGCCCAATCAGCATCTGAGTATCCAATGATCTGCTCATGACCTCGATCCTCAAAGAGTAACCCTTTGCCTGGAGCCGATTTTATATATCGAATAATGCGGACAACTGCATCCCAATGACTATCACAGGGAGAATTCATAAACTGACTTACAACACTCACAGGATAGGAAATGTCGGGTCTAGTCACTGTGAGATAATTTAATTTTCCAACCAGCCGCCTATAGCTTGCAGGATCGCTAAGCGGCTCCCCCTGTCCTGGCATAAGTTTAGAATTCGGATCCATCGGAGTGTCAACAGGTCTGCAACCTATCATCCCCGTCTCCTCAAGAATGTCTAAAGCATATTTTCTTTGAGAAATAACAATACCTGAGCTAGACTGGGCAACCTCAATACCCAGAAAGTACTTCAATCTGCCTAGATCCTTAGTTTGGAAGTGCTGGAAGAGATGCTGCTTCAGATTGGTAATACCATCCTGATCATTGCCAGTAATAACAATATCATCAACATAGACTACCAGATAAATACAGAGACTTGAAGCAGAGTGCCGATAAAACACAGAGTGATCAGCTTCACTACGAATCATGCCAAACTCCTGGATAACCGTGCTGAACTTACCAAACCAGGCTCGAGGAGACTGCTTTAGACCATAAAGTGACCGACGCAAGCGACATACAAGGCCACGAGACTCCCCCTGAGCAACAAAACCAGGTGGTTGCTCCATATAAACCTCATCCTCAAGATCACCGTGAAGAAAGGCATTTTTAATGTCCAGCTGATAGAGAGGCCAATGACGAACCGCAACCATGGATAGAAAAATGCGGACTGAAGCCACTTTAGCCACGGGAGAGAAGGTATCACTGTAATCGAGCCCAAATATCTGAGTATATCCTTTGGCAACAAGACGGGCCTTAAGTCGATCAATCTGTCCATCGGGACCAACTTTGACTGCATAAACCCAACGACAACCAACAGTAGATTTACCTGAGGGAAGAGGAACAAGCTCCCAAGTACCACTTGTATGTAAAGCAGACATCTCGTCACTCATAGC